CTCAGCCTTCCATCCTTCCGAGGTGGGTAAAATGAGGACCCAGATTGTTGGGGGCAATATGCTGACTCTCTGTAAACCGCTTAGAGAGGGCTGAAAGCCCTATGAAGCGGTATATAAGTCTACTGCTATTGCTATTGCCTAAGTAGAAGACGTTTACACAACGAGAAGTAATAAGTTGAAAGGCCTTATCTACTCCTTTATGTTTTTAATTCATTTTATATCACCTTCAGAAGGGATGGTTTTGGGATTGCACTCGTAATATCGTTGTGAAAAGTGAGCTAGGATCCGCTCCCGTTCTTGAGTTTCTCCCATCAGGGCCAGCTCCTTCAGAAAAGACCTGAAGAGAAAAGGAAGACAAGTGCAGAGGTGTCAAACTCAATTTCATTGAGTGTCGCACCAGGGTTGTGTTTGACCTCAGGGTGGCTATGACCAGGATGGGCATGGCCAGCTCGATGTCACTCGTGTTGGGGTGCCTGTGGTGGTTCAAGAAATCTTCCAGAGAAAATGGCCTCCCAAGCTCCGTTTTCTGCTGTGACAGCCTCCTGCAATCCTCTGCCAGCAAAAACGACCCTCCAGAGTTCCATTTTTGCTGGCAGAGGCATTGCAGGCCAATCCTTCACTGTTTCCAGGGCAGCTCCACAGGCCAGATTTAAGCACCCCGCGGGCCAGATCCAGCTCAGGCCTTGAGTTTGACATCCCTGCTCAAGTGTAATAGCCACTGCTCTAGGACTTCCTGCTTTTACTCTGGAACAGTGAAGCTTTCCCATCTTAGTCCCATCAACACCATAGCAACAGCTCCTTGCCAAAGGCTACAATTCCAAAACACTCTCGCACAGGTCACCAACAAGCTGTGCCATCTCACCATGCCAGAAATGTAGCAGGGGATAGCTGAAGCAGAGACACAGAGGTCTAGAATCAGGATATTCATAGTAAAATCTAATTTTGGAATAATCGAATAATTGTTCCTGAACACTTCCCAACCATGCTGGTTGTAATAAGACTCTTGTAATGTTGAGAAATTATTTTTATTTTGTTCCTTTTATTTTTTCCCCCAACCCAATGGAAAGAAATTGTGTAAAAGTTCAGGGGAATCACACTCTCAAAACAGAATCAAATTTAATATAATAAATATCTGAGTTAAGATATTAGAATTAATATGAATTATATTTGATGACAG